CAGTAGCTAGTAAAAGCATCCTTAGTCTCTAAGTTTACAATTATTTATTGGTTTAGTTGATTTAAAAAAGTACAACACTTATTAAAAATGAACAAATAAAAATCATTATTCTTACCAAAAAAAAATTTTTTCAAAACTAGCATTGGCCACATCAAAAAAGTTAAAAGGAACTCATCTCTCTCTCACACACATTTATGTGATTGTATGGCACTGGTATATTTTATCCTATGTTTATAATAGTGTCTGGCATGCCCTTAATAGTGTCTGTGCCTGCCACTTTTGTGCTGTCTATAATAGTGCCTGTGCTTGCCACTTTTGTGCTATACTATAATAATGCCTAGCACTTTTGTGCTGTGCTATAATAGTGCCTGCTAGGGATGGCAGAATTCATGATTTAAATCAATTTTTATGATTTAAAAATGATTTGCAAATGATTTAAATCATTTGGACCTGAGTACGTAATATATATTTAATTCAAATGCCAGCGATTTTTATTATTAAAAACATTGCGCATTAAATGTATTATACTATATATATTTAATTTAATTTAAATGCCTGAAATTTTATATTGTATTTAATTAAAATATAGCAGCAGCTTTTATTATTAAAACATTGTGATTTCTAAATATATTAATGTATATACGTATATTTAATTAAACTCTCTGTGTCTTATTGCTCTTTCTTTTTAATTATTATTTTCATCGTCATCATCAAAGCATGTATCTTCATCAATATCTTTAAAAATTCTTAAATTTTGATAAATATTTACAAGTTTCTTCACCTAATCATTATTTAAGCGTGCACAGTATTTGGTGTGAATAAATCCAAAATTAGACCAATATCTTTCAGCAGCAGCCGAAGAAGTTGGAATAGAAAGAACTTGACAGACAAGTTCAACTACAATAGAAAATTTGTTTGAATAGTTCGATTTCCACCAACTTATTAGATTTGAATATTTAATAGATCCCCAAAGCAATGGCCCAGAAAATTCATTGGTTTTTGCAATATATTTTTGAAATACACCATAGATCTTAACAAATAATATCATAATTAAAAAAAATAAAAAAATTAAAAAAATTAAAAATTAAAGAATTTATAATACTTACGTATGCTGCAGTTTCAAATACATAAACTTTTTTGAGATATGGTACAATTATAGTTTCAAGATCATTGATATCTAAGAATTTTCTGCAAAAACTAAAATATAATAAAGTTATGTTTAATATTATCATTATAAATAAATTAATTTTAAAATAATTATATATTACTTGGGATCTAGAAGATTCACAATTGCTATTGCAGGGTGAAATGCATATTCAAATCATTTATCAACTAAGTCAAGAACTTTTGTTTTAAAATCCAAGTCCAGATTACATGAATCATTGATCTTTGAACAATTTGCTATTCAGGGTAAACATGTGAAAGTAAAGGTTGATTAGATTCAAATAAACGTATAAGTTTAACAAAGGGTATTAAAAAAGATGCTAACTTTTCTAGCTCTTCCCATAATTGGTCATTCAAGATTTGCTTTCGAAGATCGGATGCAATTTTTGTACTAACTTCTTGTTGTACAACAGATACTTGAATCCCCAATTTGGATCTAAGAATTGATTGAAGTGCATCCAAACATGTTTCTCACTGAGTATCAACAGGTTGTACCAGAGTAATTATATCTTGTTGATTTAATAAGATTGATTCTGCTGGACGATGTGAACGAAAAAAATTTATAATTTGTTTTGCATAATTCATTAGTTTTGCTGCCCAATCAAGCTTCAGCATGTCCTTTACTAAAAGATTTACAACATGTGTGCTATATCCTAAACAAATTAATTGTGGATAGTCTTTATTTAACAATCTCCAGGCAGCACACATAAAACTGGCATTATCAGTTACAAGACCTGCGAATTTGGAAGGACCAACAGATTCTATAATATTTTTAGATAAATTCAGCGATATGTGATTCAGATTTTGTATATTTTGCATCATAAAAGATTGGGTTTGGCTAACAAAGAATAAAGTTTAAAACTGATTTACGTCTAATATTTGACCATCCATCAGATACTAAAGTTATATTTGATGTATATTCTAGAATCATATTTATTCTTTGTTGTTCAGCTTGATATTCAGTTTCAAGTAAATGGTTTGCTAAACTTCGACAATTAGAACTTGAGTAGGATGGTTGTATATCTTTTAAAAATTCAATCCAATAAGGGTTTTCAATAGCCGTAAAGGCAATGCTAGCTGAATAAAAAAAATGAGCTAAATTTCAATCTGCACTTGGCTTATTTACAAGCTGCATCTCTAAATTTTTATTTAAATTTGTTGAATCTTGAGCATTATTTTTTCGATCTCTTGAAGTAGTAAAATCCAATAAATTCTTTAAATTTTGCAGAAAATTTTTACATTTCATTAAATAATCCTTCAAATGGTCAATTAAATCAATTACATCCTCTTCACAATAAATACATCTTTGACAAGGTGTTTTTCAACCAAGCTTATCAGTTTCTGTAATTTTTAAAAATTGCAAACGAACATCTTGAAAAGGGGGTCTTCCACGAGACATAATTTAAGTTTTTAAGTTAATTTTGATTTTACGGTTTAAATTATTATTTTATTTAATCAAATCAAAATACTAATCAAAATACTAATCAAAACAACAAATTATGCAATTCATAATGATTACGTAATAAAAGATTTAAATCTAAATTGATTTAAATCAAAAATCAGTGATTTATAATATCGTGATTTTAATTACATGCCATCCCTAGTGCCTGCCACTTTTGTGCCCATGCTCATAAAATATCTGGCATTTGTGCCCATGCTCACAATAATACCTTGGCACTTTTGTGCCTTAGGCATGAGCATTGTGTGAGGCACTAGTGCCTGGCCTGGTGCCAATGTGCCTGGCATGCCCACTTGCAGAGCCCTACTAGGCAGGTCGAAAGACCTTTAGACTATAAATCAAGAATGTCGTGTGGTAAATAGTTCTTGGTGATATAATCATAGCAAGTCATACCAACCAACACTGCTTGAGTCAGAAACTACCACAGCGTAACCACCAAAAAAACTAGATGTGGTATACTGTAGTTAACTCAATCGCGATTCCACAAAACTAACTTGTCAACAATTATCGTACACATTACAAGTCAGATTGTCGGGAGATCAAGAAAATACCGTTACTTTATTAATCCAGTAATTATATAGTTGTCCAATTTTCAGAGTTAATCTTGAAAAATACAGCACACTATTAGTAAACTTAGTTTATAATATAAAACTAATGGATTTTTATATACATGTACAATACATTGAACCAATTTCTTATACGTGAATATAAGTTCATTTGAGCATCGTGTCAATTAATAATCCTGGAATGTAAACGGTTTCTTAAACACTCGGAATGTGAAAATCATACTTGATAATGTGTAAAATGTAAAACATCTTTTTTTACCAGATAACTATTGTTAATAATGATAATAATTCATTGATTTATTACTTTGTATAATATTAATGTATACAGTGAATATACAGAGTGAGATACTGAATCTAAAGCAAATATTGGTTAAGGCAAGAGAGTATGCATGCTTATTGAAATTCCATATTTCTGTTGCGTTTAATCTAGTATGTTCACTTTTTAAAAATCATTTACAATTTCTTCATTTCCTTTTGCCGGATCATAATCTGGATCTTGTGATTCGTTATCAGATTCCTCGCCTTCAGGTTCTTCTTTTTCTTCAGGTTTTTCACTTTCCCCGTCACTTTCCACTTCTTTGGGATCTTTTTTCCTATTTTCTTCCTTGGCGTCTTCTAAAATCTCTTCAACGCTTGTAATTCTATATGCTATAAATGGGGTATTTTTATAATTGTTTATTATTACTGTATTTGTATGTATATCATATGACGCCAATAACTTACCCGTGCGCTACGTGATAAATTCAAATAATATTATCATTAACGTGAATTAAGTAAAAAAACGCGAATGGAAAGCTTCTTTTTTTTTTTTAAATCATCAATTCACCTTATGAGTGTGCAAATTTTCAATAACGACTCTAGGATTATCTTCGCTAGCTTTAACTCTTCTATGAGAATCTCCAACGATCTGTCAAAACATATATAAATTGACCAAAAAGTCTTTGATAGAAACCAAAAAAAACATTTATCTAAAATTTTATTATAACCTCAGGTTGAGTGATTATTTCTTTCACGATCCCTTCAGAAAGGTGAACACTATTACCGATAGGATGATATTTAACTTTTTGTCCAATTTTTAAATCTTCCTTTTTAATGACTGTCTTAACTTTTTCTTCAGATTCTTGAGCTGGCATGTTTTTAAGAAAATGATTTCAATATCTGAATATAATTGAAGAATTATTTATTCTATTTTGTTTATATGTAACTTTTTTTTTTTTACAAAAATAGTAGTCTAAACAATGAAATTATGAAATTGTTCGACATCATATTTTGTTACATTCGTCATTTTATTCAATGATATACGTACATACGTATGTTTATTTCAGTTCAGTTCTGCACAATTTAACGTAACTATGAACGCATACTTATTAGAATTGCGTTTTTTAAAATTCCGAAATCATCTTTAAACTTCATGTTTAGTATTTTAACCTGATGTTCTGATATTTATGCAAACTTGAATTTTTCATACTTTCATTTATTAATTCGTTTTATTTGATACCAAAATTCCCTTAAAATTATTTTTTTTGTACATATTATTGTAAATTATAAACAAAAAAAATTATCGCTAATCAAGCGAATTAAATTTTAATAATTTTCGCTAAAAAAATAACTACCTAAATATGCACACCATTACTTTTTGTTAGTCTAGAAAATAATCTAAAAAATTTTTTTGGAAAATGAATCAATATGAATAATGATTAATATTATATACTTTGCTAAATATTTTTTAAAATTGTGATTTTTGAAATCGCTTGTTATTATAGATGACTTTGATGACAATTGAAACATTGCTAAAACCAAAAAAATGATGATTAATTTTTCTTGAGCTGTAATTTATCTAATTTATTAGTGACGGTGGAAAGTTCGACTTGATTAGGGATATCTTCCAGATAGGTCGATCGATATTTAGATACTAATAAATTAAAATTTCATCAGATGGCTTACAATTATTAGCAGAATAGCATAATCCAAACAAAAAGTTACAAACATCTTCTACGTTCAGCTCTTATCTTGTCGATTGTGCTTTGATCCACCATTCTACCAATAGTTATACCTGCAAACATCATGTAGTTTATTAGCCAAGTATGTACTTAATGACTGGCACAAAAAAAAAAAAAAACATACTTCTAGTTAGACTGGTACTGGAACGAGGTTCTTTGGCCACCTCATTGTCTTTGTCAGCAGTGATTTGGCGTGAATATTCTTTCATCGGAGGATTAGAAGATCTGATGGATTCTTTTTTAGAAGCTAATGTAATCGATATCAGACATGTGTATGGTTAGTAAATAATTCATATATCACCATAATGACCAGTAAAGTTACTATAAAATGATGGTTAGCACATACTATTTTTTCTAACAATCTTATGTATTTCACCAGTTGTTGAATCAAAAAGTGTGTAATAGTCTAAATTTTTAGGTTCTGGAAGATTTGGGAAATGAAGTAATCGACTAGTATAGAAGGCCTGAGGATGTGAGGCGTTAGAACAGGTAGTAGTTGGCCTGGAAATGTTTCCTGTCGGCACTTTTTTAGTTTTAGGTCCTTGAAAAGGCGCATTTCCATCTGATAAATAGCGCCATTTAAATGATGCATTCAACAGTTCTTCAATAGTTGGTCGTTTAGATGGTTCAGCATCCCAACAACGAAGCATTGCGGCAACGTAGCCTTTAGGCGTTCCGGAAATGATAGGGGGCCTTAAACCAAGACAGATATCACGAGCTAATGAGTAATCATGAGCTCTATCTGCGAAAGGTGGATTATTAGATGACATCTCCCACATTATCATTCCAAGGCTGTATATATCGGCAGCAGCTGTATATCTTACTCCCCTCAAAATTTCTGGTGCCACATATGGAAGTACGCCATAGACTTTCTTAGAATCTTCTGTTTCATTAGCTGGTCGACACATGCCAAAATCAGCAACATAAACATTCTTTTCGTGTCGCAAAATGTTACCACTATATATATATATATTTATAATAGGAAAAGTCAATACAGAAAAAAAAACCCCCCACCAAAATTTTATACATAATAATTATTAAAAAAGGAGTTCACCTGTGAAAATCACGATGGACATATCCATGACTATGAATTTCCTGAAGTCCTTTCGCAATAAGGTCAAATAATTCAATTTTCCTATCCCACGACAATTCTGCAAAATATTGAGTAAGGTAAAGACGTAGATCCCTTTGTTCAGCATATCGCAGTACCATTACATATCTATTCGTTTTCGGATCTTTACTGACACCAAAACAATCAACTATTCCATTACTAACGAGACTACATCGATGATGAGCCCTAAGCTGAGTGATTTTTAATATGAAAAAAAAAAAAAAAAAGATTTAGTCATAATTTTTTTTTTTTATAATTATTTAAATTATTATAATATTTCAGGATCACTTTTAAATGTAAATATTTCTGTATGTTCACTAGGATTTCATCTTACCTCATTTAGAAAATCTTTAGTCAAGTTTTCGGAATTATCCAGAAATTTGAGTGCAACTTTTCCCAAACCATTAGATTGAGCAGAGAAAACAGATCCGAACCCTCCCTTCGCGACAAATTTTAAATCAGAAAAGTTTTCAAATGGGATCCATTTCATATAATCATATGGTGTACTGGCATTCATTTGAGTTTCCCTAATAAAATTGTCAAGGTCATCATTACCACTCGTCCAATTTCCAAAATTTTCTTTTAATTTCTTTGTATCGCAAGGTTTACACCATCCAAATGGTGTGCGTGGTCCACCACAATTTGAGCATTTACTAAATCTCTCTTTTGTAGGTGTTGACGATGAACTTCCAAAACTAGTTTTTCTAAAAGCATCGGACGGTACAGACATGCCGACTTCTTTCGCTAATAACAAAGATTAATGCAAAGGAATAAAGTTGTTACTATAGTTTAATTTATTAAATCTCAAGTACATGTACTAGAAGTTATTGTGGCTTGAAATGCTTTTAATTAATTACCCAGCGTTTTTAGCACAGAATAATCCATTTTTAATTATAGCTATATTCAAAGTGACAATTAAGTGAAGTATAGATAAGGACCCAAGATAAAAGAGGGTCAAGCGGAGATGAAATCGCCTATTAAAAAAACGATAAAAAAAGATTATAGATGGGCGGTGAAGTAACCCAAAGATTGTTTTTGTTACCTTTTAAGCTTGAATAGGTATGATCATATTAGCGTCACCACTTATTTCTGTATTTGCGATAGAATTTTAGATTATTGGGTCAGGCAGGCCAAATCGGGAAGCTCGGGATGACGGCATAAATTACGAGCGCGTTAGTCGGAGAGTTACGGAAATATAGGATTTGATTCGATATTCGGAGTTTCGGAGTTTCGGAGTTTAGGTATATCACAGATTTTGGGGTCAGCAGGAGGTCGGTGTCCCTATATCATATGAACGGCTCGTGAAACTACTAATTTCAACTTCGAGAAAGTTTTAATCCAACTACGGCATAGCCCGAAGTTCAAAAAATCGAATAAACGTTCAAATAATGCACATTACCTGTTACAGTAGAAACTATTTTTACGTAATATTTGTACTGTCTTTCCAAATACAACATCTCATTGTTGATCTCTCTCTCTTTATACGCAGAATGTCAACCTTTAAGTAGCAAATTTCCATTTCACAAATTTGAAATTAGAAACAATGAAAATCTATTTTTACAAATCAGTTTATTTTATCAAAAAGACATCTAGGAAAAAACTGATGAAATTTTGAGGTATAGACTTTATCATAGATTTTTTCGTGCTACCTTCAAGACAAGTTCTTATTTGGACACAGCTGTAGAGATTTTTATTTATCAAATATTATTATATTAGTAATACCGATACTACTCTTGCTGAGGTGGCTGGTCATGGCCGAAAAATGTCGCGATAACGTGATTTCCGTATAGTTTAACCCGATTAGTAAGCAGATAAATAAATAACGTTAAAGACGAATAGATTAGTTATCATTCTGCCGCGAAATTTTTCTACCATGACTAGTCTATCTGTTTTGTTGGCAATGCACTAGAATTTTCTGATTACATAAAATTAAATTAACTAAATTTGTGAAATCTTGTGTACCTTTGGCAAATTAGTTAATTCCAGTCCAACCAACCAGGATTCCCGATGGCTCCTACGAGTTATATCAACCTATCGGAGTGCTGGTATGTTAATTTTTAACCGACTTTGAATGGTCATTAATGTATGGCGATCAGTGATAACTTTATTTTGTAACCAGACAATTCAGGACTTTCTACAGGTTAGGGACACGATATTTTAGTATATATTTTTTTTGAATAACAGGTTCATTTAGGAATACAATTTTTGTAGTATGGCGATAGCCAAGGATTTCTTAAAAGAACTACCTTCGTTTCTTCTCAGAGCGCCTTACTCTTGAACCCGTTTACAAAAAATAAAGAAATAAATACTATTTACAAAAATAAATTTATTAAGATGATTAGATCATGATAGAAAATAGTAATGCATAATAATGATACAGTATAAAAAAATAGAATAAGATAAAGTATTCGTAACACTAGTCAATTAGATAATTCTATCACAGTTGTCATATGAGAATTTTTTGTAATCTGATATTTTAAAGTGTTATTTTACTTGCAAATTTTTTTTGCTTCTTGACTTATCCTCAATTGAATCAGGCATATTCATTTATACAAATGGACGAGTGTAACGAAGTTCATTTGGAAATGGAACGAAGGACTAAGAATCACCAAGATCACGAGTGCCTAAGGCCAATTTTATTGGTTTCTGCCAATTTTAGGAGTACATACATTACGTATTATTATTACATTACATTTTTTTTTTTTTTTTATATATGGGCTGCCGTCAATAGAAATAAGGCAAATTAACATTTTTAAAAAAATTAATACCTTAACTTTCACAGCTCATATTTCGATGAATTTTGAAGCTATCTGGATAATCTAATATTCAAAAGAAAGCTTAGACCGTAAGCTTTCTTTTGAATATTAAATTATTAAAATAGCTTCAAAGTTCATCGAGATAGGAGCTGTGAAAGTCAAGGTATTAATTTTTTTTAAAATGTCAATTTGCCTTATTTCTATTGACGGCAGCCCATATATATATATATGTCCCGTGACCGACCTCTCTTCTTCCCCAGGCCGTTTTATCCACGTGACACCGTATTGCTATTAATTTTTAAATTTTAATACTATCCTATATTACTTTTTTTTTTTTTAAAAAAAAAAATGCAAGATATTGAAGGTTATACTACACTGATGTTTAAGTATATACAGATTTAAGCTAGTGTTTGTTTTGTTTTGTTTTTTTTATATGTATATATTATTATATTATTATTGTTTTTTTTTTTTATGTGAATGTGATCTGGGCAAGCAGAAAGGGCGTGGAAGGGTGGGTAGCATGTGATCTTGGTGATTCTTAGTCCTTCATTCCATTTCCAAATGAACTTCATTACACTCGTCCATTTGTATAAATGAAACTCAGTCCTAATTCTCACCAAGATCATGAGTGCCTATTTGGAGCATTCCATTCTTGCTTGATTCAGGATCGAAGTCATAATATTGTTTTTAGCCAGCATTCTTGAAATGCCTCTTTGGTAGAATTTATGATATGTTTCATTACTGGCCCAATTTCCTAGTGCTAAAATCTTCGTTAATTCTGCACCAGAATCTTGTGTGAAAAAAGCAGCTATCATCCTAGTGTCTTTTGATTTCAAATCTGACGAAAAATGTTTCAAAATATTTCATATCTATCTCGATACCATGTCAGGTAATGCTGGGTTATGTGGTTTAGTACTTGTTAAAAAAAGCATGGTCACTCTAGTAGATGTATTTCTCTAAGCACTTGTTTTGTTTACACATTCTGCAAAAGCAGAGGCTGGATATAATTCGGGCTTGTCTCGATATATATCTATAAACATAGTCTTTGATGCATTTTTTCTACTACCATGGGATCTAGAAATTTTTAATTCTTTAGGGTTTTGGACTTCTACAACATAACCATTTTCAACTGCTCGTGCCATCGACAAATCTATCCTAGTCAAGTCAGATAGTCGTGCAGCAGTGGTGATTGCTATCAAGAAGGCTATCTTTTGCAATAAGTCTAAAATCGTTATAGCTTCATTTGAGCCTAGGTTCGAAATATATTCAAACAATGGTGTAATACTTATGGCCTCATCTGAGTAAGGAGGTGGTGGATTTGAATTATAAATTCCCTTCATGACCTGAACTATATTAGGGTGTGATCCTACTTTTTTGTCTTCGATCTAATTATGTATTTCACTAATAGCAGATCTATAGCCTGCTATAGTGTTATATGCCTTTTCTTGATCTAATTGTTCTTTTAGAAACTGAATGATAACTACCAAATCATAAGAAGTGGGATCTTGGTTCTTTTGTTTACACCAATTACACCATACTCCAATATTTGAGGAAACCGTTTTTGACACTTCTGAATCATAAGCTGCAGAGTATAGGTTGAAAGCTCCTTCATAAAAACCCTTGTCTGACAATTGTTTCCTGATAAACACGCTACGCAAAGATTCCAAAGGCCTATTCTCCTGTTGGATCGTTGATGATTGTGAATGATTGAGTTCGGTGGAATTATAATCGGGAGATCTTCTAGAAGGTAAAGTAAGATGGAAAACCAGGATGCTGTTTGTCACAGAGAAAAGACCAAAGTTATCGACACTTTTTTCTGAATTACTTTGTTTAAGATTTTGGGTATTAATATCCAAGAGGGGTTCGCCCCAATTTACTTATTTGTGCCGGTAATACAAACCAAAAAAGAAAATCGCATTTGTAAATAAACTAAGAAAGTTTAGGATTAGGATATTAGGGTTAGCGTTAGGGTTAGTGTTAGAGCTTTTAGTAATAATTTGAGTTTTTTATATGTAAAATTTCATTCCTGTTATTTTTTATTAGTCCAAAAAGGTCGATTTAAACACTAGTTTTTAAGTATTTTCTCTTTTTTAGTGTTTTTCTTCACTTTGCTCACATGTCGGGCTGATCTGAGATCATTACATTTTATGTTCTCCGATTGGCCATTTCCTTTTTAGAGGTTTGTATTACCAGTACAAATAAGTGGATGCAGGTTCGCCCAAGGCTTCCATCCTCTCCATGGAAGTTGCAAAGCATCTGTGGTCAGGGCTTCTCTGTCTGGAATGAGAGAGCAATACTTTGAGAACATTCTGTTGGATCTGTTCACAAATAGATCTATATTGCAAGATCCCAGCAACTGGTTGATCTTCTTAAATACTTTTCTCCGGATTGACTAGTCTTGACGCTCCAGCTTCAACCTGGACGCAGCATCTGCCAGCCAATTCTCCCTCCCGAGGACATAGTAAGTGATCAAATTGATCTGTCTCTTCAAACAAACTCTTCAAATTGTCTCTGCTATTTGACTTATATTCTTTGAAATAGTGCTACCCTGATTGTTTATGCTACTGTTGTTATGTTGTCTGATTCCAATTTCACATATTTCGAGCTCAATTCCGGGAATGACTCTATTGCTTTTTTTACTGCTAAAATCTCTAGCTGATTTATATGAAGGTTCTTCTCGGATTGATTTCATCTGCCATAAATAACCTGATTGTTTATTACTGCTCCCCAACCCAGATGGGATGCATCTGTTGTCAGTGTTATACTTGGTTCTTGTTGGGTTATTACCTAACTGTTCTAGCTCAAGAGTTCTTGAGACCACCACCTTAGTTAAGTGATGCTTTTTGGTAAGAGATGTACAGTCAAATTCCAACCTCCTCGAGCTAAAGCCAGGTTTTTTTCTTTAAGAAGAGCTCTTAAATAAAGCCTTGCTAGAAACACTGTATTTGTACAGGCTAAGAGTTTCTTTAGAATGACAGCTAGTTTTCGAATGTGAATTATCTTTATATTCGACAGTTTCAAACATTCTTTTCTTATTTTATTTATTTTTCTTTTGGGTAGCTTTATTAACATCAAATTTATATCTATGAGAAATCTTAGAAATTCCAAATTCTATCACATGAAAGGCTGAATTCGAACCGGAACCTGAGATTGGAGAACTGTAGGACCAGGTCCTTTAGTGGGGGGACACACC